GACATCCTAGACGATACTTTTCCTTCAACTCACTATACGTAATAGAAAAATATAGAAGCCGTTTCTTCCCTCTATTTACCACCCTTCGGCATCGAATTTATAATAATGCTGATAAATTTATATGTTTCTTACCAAAAATATCTTTTAATGGAATATCATCAGTCAATTTAATAAATCTTCCTCCACTGGTCTTCCATTCGCCCTATATATATATTATATTCCTTACCTATCTAGTCTCTAGTAACATTCACAATTTCCATTTCTTTTTAAAAGTTAAAACTCGAAACCTAAACCTCGTACAGGCCACACAATACGCAGTATTGCTAATGTGTACAGATTCCCGATGTCTATACCGGAGGGATTTTTTCTGTCTTATAACATTTTTCTAAAAAATGCTTCTCTAAAATGTTGCTTTTCCTAAAATCCCGTTTTACATACATTGCGAAATTCCTATCAGTTTTAGAGAAAACTACAAAAACATGACAATTGTGAATATTTTTCTCCAAACAATCAGTCTTCTTACAATGTATAACCTACGACAATATGGCACTAGTAAGAGCTTGCCCTTGTCCTCATATCAACGAACCGAGCAGCTCTTCTTTCGATTCCCAATTTCTAAAATGGACTTAATGACCCCTTTCCAATTCCTCGCAAACCACTGAAGGTTGATGCAAAACTCAATAACTGTTTCCTATAAATAAACAAATCCTAAATGTCTTCACTAATACTCAACACAGATTTAATTTTCCGAATTTTTAAAAAAAAAAAAAAAAAAATTTTTTTTTTCCAAAAGTTCAAACCAGATATCTTGTAATATTAAACGTCAAAAGAAACTAGCGACTAACAAAAAATAGAAACGCAATCTAGAGGTTCTCAGTCCTTAAATATCAGGTTTTCTTGCAAGAAATATCGTTACGTAATCGTAAATAGCGGACAATAATAAGTTACGTATCGCAACAGTCCGGCACAAAACCAGTTCGTTTCTGAATCTCTAGAATGTTCTTTTAATTATAGACTTTTCTATAGCCGGCATCGCGATCCGGTTTATAATTCGGCAAAGTCAAAAGGACAAGGTCCTGACTTCCTGGTTCAAAACAATCGTATACTGAGTGAGATACGTTGAAATGGAGCAGATATTTAAGTATATAAAAGGCCTAAATCGGTTTGACGCGAAAATGCCGATCAAACATTTTTGCTAACATGTAATAGAGACATTATTTAAAGAGACATACATCATTAATTAATTTTATTACTATTGAAAAAAAAACATGCTAAAAGCTTCAGAAAAATAATAAGACAAACCTGACTATACATAACGCCGAACAGTGTTTTGAAGTATAGGGGAAAGTAGACAAAAATGGAAAACTCTATTTTCACCGCCGGAAAATGTATTTACTTACATTACTAATAAAAGATAACATAATATTTTATATTTTAAACTAATTTTAATGATTTAAAAATAAACTAAAAATATTTCTGGCAAAAAAAAATTAACTTATATTTTTTATAAATATGAAAAAAATCTCCTGCGGCCCAAAGGGTAATTATTTCTCATTATTAGTAAATAACAAATCAAAAACAAAACGTTCTCCCAACCCAGTGTGAGTACATATCAAAATAAAACATCTGACGAGGGGTAGGGGACAAAAAACCCTAATTTTTTTAAATTTAATTTGCTTCAAAAAAAGGAAGGGGGCGACATGTTTCGGGACTTCAAACCCAAGAAAGCTAAAATAATTACAATCAAAATAATAAACAAATTCCAATAGTCATACAGAGGTCGAAAAATATAAAATACAATCACAAAACAAATTAAAAGGTTAAAAAACATTCAAAAAAGGTTAAAAAGTTTTTCTATTACAATTATTCAATCACAGATACATTATGGCAAGCTCAGTTTGAAAATTAAGACAATTAAATTAAAATCATAAAGGGCAATAATTTAAGTTCAACAAAAAACGAAAAACTTCAAGAACTACCTGAAACGACTTTCTTCTTGTAGAAACGAATCAACTTCTTCAGAACAATCTTCTAAATGTAAACATAACTTAATTTTTTTCACAAATTTTGCACACACTCTTTCACTTTTGGCATTATTTTTAACATTGTTCAAAAGTATCTTTTTATTTTAAGTACTGGACATTCTACTAAAAAAAATCGAAAACTTATAATATCGCAGTTTTCCGCAGAAACTAATGGTTTTAAAGTACAATACTTGGGACAACATTTCACAAAAAATCTCGTCTACCATTTTATACCATTTTTTTAAAACCTTAAATAAAATTACACTACCAATTTTCGTTCAGACTCAATTTGACTTTTTATAATGGCCATGTATATAAAAGCAATGATTGAATTTAACAACAACTAATATGGAAAAAGAATGTACTTATTATAGGTGTTTTTCTCCATTTTGTGCAGCTAGGAAATATTCTTTTCGTCTACACAATATTCACCCCAATTTAATTGAAAAATGCGGTCACGTAAACTTATTCCACGTAAACGGTCACGTAAACTTATTCCACTATAATAAAAATACTGATATTCAATTTTTGGTATTTGCATTGCTGCTCATGTATCAATTTTTTTCATATATTTTTTGGTGATTATAGGCCTTCCTAAGGGGATAAATAATAATATTTGTATAAAAGCGAAACAGGTTTTATCTGGTTTTTGTCCATAGAGCGCTACACTGTGAGCCGCGCCGGTACCCAATATACATCTGGTTTGTATATGTTACGGTTAAAGTCCGATGTCCGGTTAATGTCGACATTAACATGTTAATGTTCGGGTTAGGTTATGTTTTTGGTTGTTTTGTTGTGTGTTATTTTTGAGATTAACCGGGTAATGTCGAAATTAACCGGACATCGGACCTTAACCGTAACATATACAAACCAGATGCAAACAGAAAAATACTAGGTTGCTACTTATACTGGGTGCGTTTCAACAGTGGCTTAAGCCTATAATTTTTTTATTTTTTCAGAAAAAAAGCGAGGTTTGGTATGTCAAAATATGACATAAATTAGGATTGATTGACGTATTCAATTGTTTTTGGTCACTTCCTGTTTCACCGGAAATGACTACAACTTTTGATTTTTAAATGGCACCCTCGGTATTTTTTTAATTCATACGATAGAAAATGACACTCTGAATCGAATAACAAATAATATGTCAACTTTTGACATATTCGCTCAAAAACAAATTGTATTTTAAATGTCAATATAGAGTGCCATGGGGCTGTGTTATAAACACTAATTTTTAATCAAGGAGCCTTGGAAAAATAGATTTGATCATCTAATGTTTTTAATGTCTTGTCCTGGCCGGTTAAAAGATGCCCAAATCCTATTTTTAATAATATCTCAATTTTTTCAAATGGAACGAGGATGGCTCATTAGCATATTTGGAAAAAGCATTTTTTTACGAATAATTTCATACCACACACTTGGTATTTCGAGTCAAATTGTCGTTATGAACCGCGACCGCATGTAACAATTTCAACTAAACCATATGCGAAAATGTCCAAAGTTGACATATTATACGTTATTCTATTCAGAGTTTAATTTTCTATCGAATAAAGTAAAAAAATACCGAGGGTGCCATTTAATAAACAAATTGTAGTCATTTCCGGTGAAACCGGAAGTGACCGAAAACAACTGGATATGTCAATCGATCCTAATTTATGTTATATACTAGCATACCAAATCTCTTTTTTTATCTGAAAAATAAAAATTACAGGGGGTGAGCCACTTTTGAGACGCACCCGGTATATTAAAAAATTGGGTCAAGTGCGAGTCGAACTCGCGCACGAAGGGTTCCGTACCATTCATTATCTATACAATATTAGACACTATATTATTATAAACTTTTTTTCCGATTTAGCTGAAATTTTGAATGCGCGTATAAGTAATTAAAAAATGAAGAAACACATTACTAAAAATTGTATTAATCAATAATAAATATGTAAAAAGTAAAAATAAATATGTAAAAATTAAAAAAAGTCGCCTTGACTAGGATTCGAACCTGCCTTACTACGGCTCCAACGTCATAGCAGCGTAACGTCTTAACGCTTTAACCGCGCGGCCACCGAGATTCTATGTAAAATTCTTATTTAAAAGATGTTTAAAAATGTTTAGTGAAAGTACTTTTTTATTCATAAACATTTATTTAATTCTGTTTTTAGAATTTGTTGTTATAGCGTAACATAGATACATTATCTGTAAAAAAATTTCAACTGTCTAGCTATAACGGTTCACAAGATAGACCTTTGTGACAGACGATCGGACAGCGAAGTCTTAGTAATAGGGTTCCCGTTTTTACCCTTTGGGTACGGAACCCTAAAAAATAACGGATATTTGATATGATTATTACATAATGATTATAGTATTCCAAAACTATATTTTTACATATGTAGGTGTACTATTTTTATGATTTTTTCAATGCAGTTTTCAGTTTTTCGGTAAGTTTCTTGCAAAAAGCATGGCAGATTTTCTTTGTTTGCCAAAATTCGAACAAATGGACAAAATGCATCCGGAAAGTCTGCTCCTCAATTGTTATTATCACTGTGTAATTCTTTCTGTTATAGATGTGGTTATGATCGCTCTGTTTGCCGAATGTTATCATTTAAGATGAGGTCTAGTCTTCACACTCCACATTACCTTCTCAACAAATCCATTTCTACAGCTTCGAGTTTCTTTTCGTTTGATTTTCTAATGGCCCATGATTCAGAAGCATATGTGGTTATGGGGTTATCGATAGCTGTATATAGTTTTTCCGTCAATTTCACTCCAGATAAAAATATGAGTCCAGCTTCTGAGAATAGCTGTTTCTTGAAGTTAAATGAAACACTGACCACCTTAAATATGTCAAAGTTCTGCCCTTATTTATAACACTATTTTAATATAAAATTTGTATCTCAAAAGATTCTGCACACTTCTCCCTTTCTGTTACAAATAACTAAACCAGCCTGTGTAAACCGTTTACTTAATTACTAAAATAAATACCTGGATTAAAGCTTCTGGTTGAAGTGGTCCCTGATTCTGTCCGTCGAATTTGTCAGCTACCTCGCTCAGCAGCTCGAGGTCTTGCTCCAGCTGCCTACAGGAAGCGTTAGCTGTGACGTAGGCAGAAGCTAGCAGGAAACTACCGAGCACGAAAGACACCAGGACAATAGTGACGGCTACGATTTTGGCCACTTGTACTGCAGAACTCTGTGGTTTATGGTAAGCCTGAAAAAAAATACAACATGTTACTACGAATTTAATTCAATAAACCTGAATTAATCAACCAATCAATCAGTCAATCCGCTTTATGGGAGTACTAGCTGAGACAGTTAATTTCGAACGGCCTAACAGTGAAATGATTTTGTCAATCTTGTGGTACGGATGACCGAATGATCCGGAATGATTGAGAGCAGTCGATTTGACAGTTGTTGTAATTTGTTCTCTATATTTTTGTTTTCCATCGATTGAAGTATTTTTTATGTACTTATATCAATACCTTTCTTGGTTTAAATACATTATCTGACTATTTTTAGTTTTAGTTTCCATTCTATAACCATTAGTATGTCACTGATTGGCAGTGGGCATCAATATTATTACAAATAAGCTATAAACGTGCGCGACGTAAACTGCCAATCACGGAGGTCCGAACCAAAGGTCCGAACCAAAATTATTTAAAAATTAATTTTTTGTACAATTTTTTTTCTGTTAATTTTCCCGATATTTTAATAGTTACTGTACTATCCTATGGGGAGATCATTAAAATGTGTCCAACCATTCTTGAGTTAGAACTGGTATAACTAACCTGATTTTGTTTTAGATATTAGCATATATTTTCACATTTTTATTTAAATATTATACCGGAAGAGGTACACGCATAGACATAGAGGTTGACTATCACTATTATTTTTCCGAATCGAATTAAAAAAAAAATGGGTAGCAACTTAAAAAATAAATTTGTATAGCATGGCATAATTAGATTTTTTCACGTATTGTACTTTTTCGTAAACTATGCGTGTTTGAAATTAAAAAATATAATGTATACAGGGTGTGCGAGCGGATGCATCTTATAAGTGGCTCATTATAACTTTTTTATTTTTTCAGATATAAAAAAACGAAATTTGGTGTGTTAGTATATGATATAAATAAGGATTGATTGGCGTATTCAATTGTTTTTGGTCACTTCCTGTTACACCGGAAATGACTACTACTTTTGATTTTTAAATGGGACCCTGGGTATATTTCTACTTTATTCCATAGAAAATGACACTCTGTCATTTTCTATTTATTTTATTTATTATCTATTTTTTTTATCTCAATACAATGACATGTCAATTACACAGAACTAAATACACACTCTGAATAGAACAACACTCTGAATGAAAATATGAAAAGTTGACATATGGTATGTCATTTTATTCAGAGTGTCATTTTCTATCGCATAAAGTAGAAATATACCAAGAGTGCCATTTAAACAACAAAAATTTCCGGTGAAACAGGAAGTGACCAAAAACAATTGAATACGTCAATCAATCCCAATTTATGTCATATACTAATATAGCAAATCTCGTTTTTTAGTAAGAGAACTATAAAAATAAAAATATTATAGGGGTGAGTTACTTTCGGGATACATCGGTATAATATTTAAATATACATTTTGTTTAAAAACATTCTAAATTTATTGATCAAATTCCTTTCTAAATGCTATATAAATACAAGATTAAAGTACCTAGTTGGTAGAAAACCCTGTCAGATACATGATACGTTAATATAGATGTTATGTAATTTAAAATTGATGTCGAATTTAAATTGCTAAAATTAAAATGTTGAAAATTGGAACTAAGTATTTAAATTCATCATAAACTATTTATTTCTCAGAAGCACCATTAAATTTAATGGACAAATTTTAATTAACAAACAAAATTTAACTTTTTTTTTAATAAAACTAATAATTTGTGTTAATAATTTTATCGGAAAACAACTAAATTGATTTTAGAGAGAATAGAGGGTATTTATTTCTAGTAAACGTAGCCAAAACCACACATTTTGCTTTTAATATCTTGCCACGCCTCATTCAATTTTACTTTAAAAAATGTCGTCAATGGTGTAGAAACTTTCAAATATTATAGAAAGAAAGCAGATCACAATTGATTTTTACAGTTAATTAATGTAGAGTAATACGTTTTCTAATTAAGTAATTATTTGTCTAATTAAATTAATTGGTCCATTAGACGGTATAATTTTATAAATTACCAGAGGTCAACGATGGATTTAGGTATTAATGAGACTTAGTATAAAATATACGTGTAGATAAAGTTTGATTTAGATATTTCAATGGAAAATAAAAATGTTACAGTTAAGGTTGGGATCTTTTGGTACAACAGCAAAAATAAAACACTATTTTACAACAATACATCAAAACACTTTTCTTTTAATATTAGAGACGTGTTTCGCTTTTAAGTTTTATCGGTATAACTAAGTTAAATTAGTATAGTATAAAAGTAGGATAGTATAAAGCTACGCGCACACTGACCAGCGCCGTACTCGCCGCACGAATAGAACTTTTTTTTCTTGTCGCGCACACTGACCCGTACCCTTCCGTACGTACCGAACGCGCCGCATTATTCGCTATTTTGTTTCTTTTTGCCCCTACTACACCCGTATTTGTCAATCGAATTTCTCATCAGTCGCTTCCGGAGTCCTGTCTGCGGTAATTCGCGACAATTAAAAAGTGTATAAAAAAAACTTTGAGTCTTTTTATACTTCTTTTTAATTTAAACCAGGTCCCTTTGAGAAGAATGGACGCCTTCTTTAAATTTCTCGACAATGAATGACAACGAACAAGAAATAATTATGAGCTCCTTGCTAATAGAAGAAGAAGAAATCACGAGAAAGAATCGAAAGTTATAGGTTCACAATATTTGCAAAAATTCAAAAATCCACATTATTTCTATATTTAATTGAGGATGAACTAATTTTTTTTCAATATTTCAATATGAGCCATGGAAAATTTGCGAACTTTCTTAGCATATTGAATTTCTAATCTCCTCTTCGGCTACCTACGTAGAGTGGAAAGAATTGAGTGTGACGTCAGCAGCACTAGCCGCATTTACCGAAAATCATTCTGGCCCAACAATGCTGGCCGCATTTTCGTCGATGCGATTCGTGCGGCTCTGGCTAGTGTGCGCACCTTCATTGAAAGTAACACTCCGGTAACACAAACAATATTTTTCTTCGGCCGATGCGGCGCGTGCTGCTCTAGTCAATGTGCGCGTACCTTAACTAAGTTTTAAAAAAAATGTCCAAATACCGATAATTTTAGTAAATAAAAAATGTATTCATCCATTTAATCAGCATTATTAATGGATATTAATTATTACACCATTTTTAGTGATTTCTAGGTTATATTAAGCAAAAGCTAACCTGTTCTATTTATAGATTTACATCTACAACATGAAGCTTAACGTGCAATAATTGTAACTCTTTAGCAAACAGATTTATTCATTTAGTTTGAAATATACTATATTTTTGCAATACTACACAACCTGATATATGTATACATATCTTGTAGGTAACGATCGAGAATCACCATCTTGGTAAAAACATATTATATCTTCTGGCCTTCACACAAATACTGTAAAACTAGCCTGGTTTCGCAAAAAGCATTAAGTCGAATAAGCGCTAAGCAACTTTTCTGTTATTTATTTATATTTGGTCAGGTGAAATAATACAAATAGTTTATTGTGAATGTTTGCGACAAACAAATATTTTGTTTGAACCGCGATTCTTTTAAAAAAAATATTGAATGCAAAAACTTCTTGAATTTTATATCGATAAATAAAGTCAACAAAACTTAAAAAGCTTCAAAATCAACATTCTTGTCGTTTATAATAAGCATTTTTATTTAGTATCTTTTTAAGGTTTATTGACATTTAGCTGATTTTTTAGGATTGTTTCGTTAAAGTATTTGAAAACCATATACCGTGTGGTGCATCGGAACATGGGACATAGAAAATCTCATGTTAATTTTGAAAAGGTCCAATATTATTAATTATTACCCCAGATGATTTTATGCAAAAGTTGTATTAAACTTTTTTGAACATGCGTTAAAGTTGTATTTTTGTGTAGAATTTCGTTGCATCTGGAATAGTCATTTAAAAATATTTTGCAAAAATTTACCTTCAAATTAGTAAAATTCACAATACGGCCCAAAGAAAGCTACAATATCAGGAAAAATGTGATGTGTGTATCATTGTCAAATTCGATGTCACATTTTGTTTAGAAAAATTTGAAGGTACTAAACAGAATAATTTTATAAAATTATTATAACTTTCGTACAAGCTACAATGGTTAAACGGCATTTTGCTGGAAATAATATTCTCGCTGTGTTAGATAAATGTTCGTAGCTCAGTGTCCGGAAAGCCTATATCGAATAAGTCAACAGTTTAAAGAATGAACCAGAGGTTTGCAACTAAAGGCACTAAGGTATTAAGTACGAAGTGTGAAGACAAAAATAATTGAACAGGAAGAAAACAACAATGACTTGAATATTCTTCATGTCGAAGAAAAGAAAAACATTGACTCCCGTCTACTGAGGTTAGAGTAGAAAAAAACACAGGATCTTTCGCCGAACTCCCTGACTGAATGAGGAAGTCCCTCATACAAAAACCGTCTTTATGGGCATATTAAATACAGACATTTAAATGAACTGAAAACGACATCTCTGTGGAACGCTATTAATTCTCATTCTCATTCTCATCATTCTCTCTCACGCTACAAATTCTCGCCTAATAGCTTTGTATTGAGATTGGGGCGTAAATTTTACAATCATTTGGGGTATTGTTTGGATGTGAACGGGGGATTAGGTAAAAAATGTATTAGTTATTAGATATAGTTTAATAAAGTTCCTTTAGTTACAAATATTTCTCTTTTTATTTGTTAAATTATTATGGATGTATGTGGTATGAGCGAGGCCTGCGAGTGATCGAGTAATGGACAGCAATCAAGTCATACTCCGCGAATACTATTCTCAACAAACAGTTCAACTAATTCTTTTGTAAATTGATCATGCCAATTCAGAAAAAAATGATCATCCTTTCCAAACCACATTTTATTTGTAGCTTTCTCTGGAAATTTTTAGTAATTTGAAGGTTGATTTTTGCAAATAACTTTTAGATGCCTATTCCAAATAAAACGAAATTCTAGACGAAAGTACAACTTTAACGC